CACACACACACACACACACACACACACACACACACACACACACACACACACTACATACACGTGCGCGCGGACACCGAGATCAACAGTTGATGCTGTGGGAGAGGAAACCGTTACCATGGCAACATTGTAACCGCGCATGTGTCCGTCCACAGGTGAAGCTAAAGCCCGTGGACCGACTGTCTCCAGATTACGAGGAGGAAGGTCCACAACGCAAGGCCTCCGCAGACAAGAAGCGTCCAAGTGTCGAACTAAAAGTCAGCGGTAAGCATGAGGATCATTATTAACTCAGTAATATTATTACGTTATTTTATTATTATGAATAATTGTTTTCATTTAACTAAGCAACATGGCGTTTAGCATCCTAGTAGTATGATAACCAAGGGAAGTGTCGGCGGTGGCTCTGACACTAGTACTGGTTGTTTACTCTTAAGCTCTGCGCGGTGACGGTGACTTTGGTAACAATAGCATGATCAAATGTTAATGATAACCCTTGCTGATAATGCAAGCAGCAATAAAAGGTTTGCATGATGCGTGCACGCGCGCGTGTGTGCGCGTTAGTACGGTTGGCCATTCGTTCGTACGTGCATGTGTGCGTACGTGTGTGTGCGTACGTGTGTGTGCAGTCGTGCGTCTGTATGTGTGTGCGAGTGTGCATACGAGTGTGTGTGTGTTTCGTATGTAACTATGTCTTCTGTGTAGACGTCAGCCCTGCATCGTCGAGGAAGCCTTCATTGAAGGTGCCAAAGGGCGAGGGCGGTCTTCGCAGACCGAGCCAGGACAGACGTCGCAGCTCCGTCGGTACCAGGTACGCATCGTCATAATCTTATTACCATTTCTAAAATAATTAAAGCCTATGCGAACCCAACTATGTATATTTTAACATTTATGATTACTAACACATGTATTTTTGGGGGTTCGCATAGGCTTTAAATCTTACCATCTATTCGAAAATTTAATCCTACTCGTAATCAAATTTACAGAATCGCGAGCATCAAATATTTTGTTTCAGCATACACTGTGTAACTGCCAAGTGAGTCACGCCAGCAGTGTCCCTAATAGACAGTTGTCCGTTCTACGGAGGTGATGCCTAGCACATGTTTGACTGTAATTTCTTTGTTTTGTCTAGAACTGGCGCTGGCCTTCTCTCAGAGACGCACACGTTCGAGTGCAAGCAGAAACATTTTGATCCACCTGATCTAGAGAAGAAGCTGCAAGTAACAAAGGACGAGAAATGTCCTCCCTATTTCATCGAGAAGCCGCAGAACTGGGCCGCTCAGGAAAGTAAGTGATCCCGAACAAAGTTCACAAATCCATTCGTCGACATTTCACCAGACACGTTCGTAATAGCGTAAAATCATTTCGCTTTTATTATAGTTTGTATGTATATGACGTTATGCAACATTACGTGTGCAGTGTGCAGACTAAAACGTATGAATCGGTAGGTGTTACCGCCCTGCCAATAGTAGTGTGTGAAGCTAAGTATCATATGTACCTCTCTCTCTCTCTCTCTTTCTCTCTCTCTCTCTCTCTCTCTCTCTCTCTCTATATATATATATATATATATATATATATGTATATATAATCTATAATATCTATATCTATAATATAGTGATATATATCACTATATATATGCGTATGTAAGTATCATATATAACTGTGTGTATACGCAGTTTTGAAAATACATGACTTCCATTAAGTTGCTTTTTAAACGTCGAATTATCGTAGTTGTGAATTAAAAAAATGTCAAACACATCTACGTGATCGCAGAGTGCGCGTCTCACATTTTCAGCAATAGTTCGTAAAGAGCCGTATCATATATTTATATGTTTCCTTGTGGTGTTGCAGAGGGAGTCGCTGAGATCCCAGTCAGAGTAGGAGGAAACCCAGAGCCCCGTGTGCGGTGGTTCAAGGGATCAAGAGAGCTGTTTGCTAGTCACAGATATGTGTATTATATTGACGGTAAGCATGTTTCTATCAATATTATCAAATGCTAATAATACCTAAGTATTATACCTAATAATACCCAAGTATTATTAGCTCTTGATATTATATATATACATATATAAATATAAATATATATATATATATATATGATAAGTGAAAATGGTAATCTTATTGTCAAAATACCCGTTTTCATAGTATTTCACATGGTTATATTGGCGGTGAACGTAGTAATTAGTAAATACTGGAACACCGGTATCACCCGGAACATGCGAAATCTGGTTATCGACGAATAATTGGCAATAGGTAAAATAATAGGTAAAAATATTAATAATAGGTAAATAATTGCTATCACTACTTGTATATGCTCATTTCGTGTATTTGAAACATCGAAAAAATGGGTTGAGCGGGTAACACTTGTGTTTCTTCGAGGCGTGATCGTAATTCTTTGTTGGTTTTCAGACGAGACGAACACGGCGACGATGCAAATTAAGAAGCTACGTGCAGCAGATGACGGAATCTATACAGTGAAGCTGCACAACTCAGAGGGAGAGGCCGAGGAGAAATTCAAACTGATCGTGGCTTGTAAGTTCTACATGTGTTCCGGATGTTAAAAAGCGGTGAAATGCCGGAGTATTCAAGGCGTTAACCACCTCCCCTCATTAGGTCTACTGAAATGCATATTATATTGCTTTTTGTGTTTATCTAACTAGTTCTGATTTGATTCTGAGATAATCGCTCTTAAAATTTCGAACGACTACCCGTTCTAAATTATAAATTTTAAATTCTTAATTAAATCAAAATAAATTAAACAATTAATTTGAAATTTTCATTTTTTAATTTATTTTTTATTTAATTCTAATATTTCGCAATTAGTAATTGATATCGCATGATCTACGTCTTCGTGTCTAGGCGAGGGAGGCATGGACTTCCGCGCCATGTTGAAGCACCGCGAGTACGAGCAGTGGGAGTTGGATCAGATGGCGCTCGAGGAATCCAATCTCAAACTACCGACCGATGACGGAAAGCGTCGTTCATCGCAGGTGACGATGTCTAACAAATGAACATCTATTTTTGGATTCTCTTCTTGGAGGGAGAGGGGCTGTGTTAGATAGTATTTAAATTATTAACTGTACCCGTTACCTTTGAAGTCTAGATGTCATATCATCAGGAGTGAATAGGACAAACATAATTGTCACGAAAAAAATTACGAAACAAACAAAACCATTTGGTTTTATTCACGCCCCCATATTATTATCTCACACATTCAATTATTATAAGTCGTTATTAACATCTAATGTTAAGTAATAACATTCTGCAGTGACAGTTGGATTTCTTTGGTTTACAGGTGGAAATCCCTCCCGTACAGCTGAGGAAGGTTGGCCGTAAGAAGAGGGGAGCCGATGAGGTTTGCACCTACCGATTGAAGAACCTTATCCACCGACCATTGCTAGAAAATGTTAATAGGACGTTAATGTCCAGCAAGGAAAATGAACAAGCAACCTAGCTGAAACTAGACACTTATTTACCGCTCTACAGTGGGATGTGATCTCTGGTTTGTTCCGCTCACAATAAATTTTTCTGTTTACTCTGCTGATATGCGAATAACTAAAAGCGATTTATTTTTAGGATAAGCAAAGGTTTATTAAGGAGCTGGAAGACAAGAAAGCCAAAGAAGGTGTCACAAAGGTGGTGAAAATGGAAGCCGTCTTCTGCAAGCCGGATCAGAGGGTAAGGGAACAGACACTGCGTATTATCAGTGAATTATTATTACCGCAAATAGCTGATGATGTAGGTGTTTATTTTACCCATTAAATCCATCAGGTGATTAATTATTGTAAATAGTCGAAGATCAACAATTAATTCGAACGGCAAAGGTCACGCGATGACCCGATATTCTAGCATCGCGTCCGAAAGAATAAAACATACAGCGCACGGTGTGAGCTGGAAGACTAGTGAAGAGAACTGACATTCCCAATATTAACTAATACTATTGCTTTGCATCAAACAGGCTCAGTGGTTCAAGGACAAGCAGGAGCTGTTCCCTGGCCGGAAATGCACTGTCCTTGTCGAGGGTGACAAGTACACTCTATCGGTAAAGAAACCAACAGTCGATGACGCCGGTGTCTACTCGATCCGCATCAACAAGTGTGAATCAATCGCCTACTTCGGCGTAGAAGGTGAAACTGAACACATTGAATACATTAAATAAAATAAAAAATAAAATAAAAAATAAATATATAAATATATATATATATATATATATATATATATATATATATACACAAATTCTTATATATATCCCATTTGCCTTTTAAATCAGATTGTTAATTCTGGGCTTCCCTGCGCCTTTAATGTTCATCTCCCCGTGCACAATCATCCTAAGCATTTCGACTGTGCCTCGTGTACAGGGTTGATTTGTATGACGCTAGTAATACTATTTGAATTACACTATATATATATATATATATATATATATATATATAATCATATTAATCATGCTTGCCTCTTGCACTCTTGCAGAGCCGGAACCGAAGTTCTTCTTTACGAAGCTGTTGCCGAAGCGTGTGGACATTGACGAGCACCTAACCGCCATATTAGAGTGTAGCGTGTCAGACAAACGCGCCCAGGTCAAGTGGTACAAAAATGGCGAGCTGATAGAGGTAGAGTTTAACACGTCATGCGGCCAACGCTGTTGGCTCGACCGAAGAAGAAGCACGGGTCGTTTCGGTGATGATAAACGCTGATTTGTTTCGACATGAAACCAAAAATGAAACCAAAAAATAGCAATGGAATCTTGCGTCTAAAGATCAAACTAGACCACAAACCACCGAGGAATTTACATCCAGTATCAAGGACATAACATGCCCGCATCGGTTATTGTGGGAGGGGTCTAACAAGGGTTAGACGCCAGCAAATAGCTTGCGTTTTTTATTCTTAATTGGGCGCCCGTGTTAGCGTGCGATTAATCGCACACACTGCTAAATATCACGGTTGCAATGTCTCGCTCAGACAGTCCTGTCTGTCATCGATGGGTGAAATTCTAGCCCAAACCGAAAATGCCTGAGGGGCACCGAAACGCGAGCCGCATATCGCGTCATAAGCGGCTGCACTACTATATAACAATCATCGGCACTACCATTGCTTCCTCGTCGGTCGATACGTCACAATTGTGCCACACTTGATCGGGAAACTTTGATCGGACATGCCACCACTGGCTATGGTAGGCGATCTACGTCGCGGGGGCGGTCCCCCCCGCCACGCGGTCCCCTGTGTATAACGGCCAACGCCACTGCTCTCTCACGAGAGTGTGTAGGCGAAGGCTGGCGGTAAGCGGGCTGTTAATACATGAAACATTCGCGGCACTAAATTTTTGCGGATCGGCTTCGTACAAATTTCGTGCACGCCAATGCTTCATGTCTTACAGTTGAGCAAGAGCATGCACGTAAAACAGAGATTTAGCACCATGTGTAACGACGTCTTTAACGAACGGCCTAGAGAAATAGAGTAGAAAGCATGGTGTATGCATGGATATCACATATACATCGTACACAGCTGTCGTGTATTATAGGATATCTATGCGTGTTTGTTTGCCAGAAATTACATTTTCAGCTATATATCACTTATTATTCAACGAGACCCTACGATCTGATACTGAAGCCGAATGATCGCCTATTCATATGCCATCGTCACACGCACGCACGCACGCACGCACGCACTCACGCACGCACGCACGCACGCACGCACGCACGCACGCACGCACGCACACACACACACGCATATATATATATATATTATATACACATAATCAGAATATGTTGCTAATTAAATTATTTTTAAGATTATCTCAAAAGGGTATTCGAAAATTCGAGTACCTCGATCACGTTATCGTATATTGCTGATACCATTTTCTTTATTTGTCCATATAATGAAACTCTTTCGCTATTGACAAATCTTCCATACATTCTCGCACGCTTGCATGATCGCAGCATGTGAGAGTTCTCGTTTTAAATATTTTCTTTAATCACATATGCTAAAAAACGTATACGCGTTACTTGCGTTCGCATTGCACGTGTCCTGTCTGTTCTACCTACTTGTGACACCGCGCTTTAACATATTATCTGAAACCGTACTCTAAAGGAGCAAACGTCTCAAGCTATGCGCATGCTTGCCGCTTGCACTTGACGACGAATGTGCAACGCTTCTTTAAAGTTGGTTCATATTCCTGCATCGAGATGCACTGAGCAACTACGTTTATTTAACTCGTTTATATGCTCGTTAGTAATGACTAATGAATCATGAGTACATATATATATATATATATATATATATATATATATATATATTGCATGGTAACCAGAGTAACCTTTGTAGTAGTAGTATTCATCGTTTCTTGCAGAGGTTCACTATCGCATGCGCCCATATGTCTGTGCTGCACTCTATTAGCTGCGTTACACTGTGCTTGATATTATGCACTGTGCTTCCTATGCTGCGCTATGCTTATTCAGCTGCACTGTGTTTCCTATGCTGCGCTATGCTTATTAAGCTGCACTGTGCTTTCTATACTGCGCTGTGCTTGATATGCTGCACTGTGTTTCTTATGCTGCGCTATGCTTGTTATGCTTCACTGCTCTTACTGTGTCGCACGCTCTTAGATGTGTTGCACTATGCTATATGATGCATCATGTATACTGCACTGTGCTGCATTGTACTGCATTGTGCTGCATTGTGCTCTCTGTGTTGCATGTCATGCATCTTATCTGTGTTTGCTATCGTCAGCGAAATGTTGGAAACCTCACGACACTATCGATGTATCGGTTTCCCTGCTTCAAATTATAAGCATGTACGAAGTGCGAAACGTTAATTGTAAAAATGTGATGAATTAATTAGTGTCTAAACGTAAATTCCGCGCATCGTTTGCACGTTTTGCACGTGTCGTATATGACAACGAATTACTGTAAACCTAATTAAATCCATGTAAAATTCAATTTATACTCATGTATCTTGTTTAAAGTTTATCGATGCGTAATTATTAATGACTACGACGTGTTAATGTGTCGCTGACGGTCCTCCATATTGCTGCCCTGATGTGTACTATATACTAGCCCGTGTTTGTTGTGACCTGTTGAACATGACTGTTAAAACTATTTCAGCTGTCGACGCAGTTGCAAACAGTTTTCAATGTTCAATGTTTTCAATTTTCTTTATTTGCGCACACAAACCGTATATAAAAGCAGCACGTAGGCGGAATTCATCAGCCTAGAACAAACCACCCCCCATACTATCTCCTCCAGTGAGTTTCGATAGTGGATAACCTCTGTCGATGACGTTCCTTTACCTTGAACCTTCCATTGCCTCGTTAGCTCTCATTGCCTTA